AAAGGGGCGGGCGGGGGGGGGGCAAACCCGGAGGCGGAGTGGGGAGAGATGAGCCCAAGGGGGGTGTAAATACATCCGTTTTACATCCCGCACCCCTTTTCTGTTTGCTTCCCACAGAACCTCTGGTTTGCCAACCCCGGGGGCAGCAACAGCATGCCCAGCCGGAGCCACAGCTCGGTGCAAAGGACGCGCTCGCTGCCGGTCCACACCTCCCCGCAGACCATGCTGATGTTTCAGCAGCCAGGTAGGAAGCGGACATTTGGGTTTTTTGCTTATCCACAGCCCGGCGAGCCCAGGGGAGGCTGGGCGAAAGGAGCCGGGACGGTGAGGCCTCCCCGGGCCGGCGCGTCGCCCGTGCCACGCAAGCATCTCTGACGCGAGTCGGGTTACGGGGCTGACTGAACCGGAGGCATCACTGGAGGGATTTTGACCCTATATATAACATCTCGGCCCTATATATAAGTGGGCTGGTGCCTCACGTAGCTCGCTTCTGAGAGGCTTCGTGTCCGGCGGGGAAGGCGGTAGCTCTGCCATCACCTTTTTTGCTCATGCGTGGACACGGATGCGGAGGGACTGCCTTCGCGCACTCGAGGGAAATCCTCCCCGCAGCGCACGTGAAGTGGTGCTGTGTGGGTGCTGCCTTCTCAAACACCACAAAAATGCTCCCGCATGCAGGAGCATCCTCTGATTTATGGGGGTTCCTGCCGAACCTGGAGCATCCTTCCCAATAGGACATTCATGCCTTTTTCTCTGTGTATCCCTTCCTTAGCCTTGAAGCGTGCCTTTTCTTACCATAACAATTTATACCTCAGGACAGGGAGTTACATCCCCCCCCCGCAGTAAACCAAAACTCATCCATAAGCTTCTGCCACGGTTTCAGCTTGGCAGCTCCCCTTGCAGCACACGCCTGCGGTGTTTTAACTGCATAATTTAGGTGGAAAATGTCCTGTACAGCAAAAGCGGCCTCTGTTCTCGGGTATTGATGAAACACCAGGACAAGGGCACATTTTCTGCAGGCACTGAAAGAGAATAAACAGTTTTCTCTTTCCGAGTTAGCCTGCGGTGAAGGAGGGCGTGGGAGGATGAGGGAGCCAAAGGTGCGGACTGGGTCGCAAGGAAAATAAGGAATAACGCAGGGCTGGGCACCTGAAGCATTTTTCATCGGGCCGCGGGGACCTCAACCCTCCTGGACCTCATCCCACGTTCCTGTCAGCCGGCAGCAAGCGGGAGATGCCGTCCAGCGGTAGCAAAAGCTGCGTTTGCCACTTTGCTGCAGAGAGGGGGCCAATTTGGTGCTCTGTATGGATGAGGCCGGGGCACTGCAGCACGCCAAACTTCAGCCCCCATTTTTTTTGTGCTCACCTCCCCCCGGGATTGTGGCAACAGAGCTGGGGGCAACCAAGCGGTCGCTGAGCTGGCCACGGAAAAGCCGGCCGGTGGCTCGGCCGGTCTGTGCTGCCATCCCCCGTCTGAGCGCTGACCCTGCTGTGTGCCGCTCCCCGGGGCCGCCCGAGCATTTTATGTGCATTGAGGATTTTTGCAGGGGCCTGAGCAAGGGGAGAGCCCTGGGCTGCCCCTCCCAGGGTGGGGGGCCCGCTCTCACCCCCATTCCCCCCCAGCATCTCTAACTGGTGCCTGACCCCCACATTTCCATCCACCTTCTGCTGCAATGCCATTGGGTCTCCCCAGATTTACCCCTTCTCAATAAGACAGAGGGGAGTGATGAATATTTTTGCAAACGTCTCTCGCCGGAGGTGATTGCACCGGGAAGCGAAGCGCTGCCAGAGTCCGGCCGTGCGGTCAGACCCTTCTGGAGCATCTTTTAGGTGCTTTCGTTCCCCACGTGCACCCGCTTTGGCAGCAGCGGAGTGGACAGGGGGTGTGGGGCGGGCAGGCAGGGTCCCCGCCAGGTCCCCTGACCAAGGTCTCCTGTCCCTTTGTCCCTGCAGAGTTCCAGGTGCCGGTGACTGAACCTGACATCAACAACAGGCTGGAGTCCCTGTGCCTGAGCATGACGGAGCACGCGCTCAGCGGTGAGCACTCCCTCCTCCTC